TGCTTAAAATGATCATAATGGGACGTTAATGATGATACTGGTGGTGGTTGTGATGATGATGATGGTGATGATAAGTATGATGATGATTATGATGACGATAATGGTGATAGTGATGGTGATGGTGATGAGTATGATGCTGACGATGATGATACTAATGATGATGACGATGACGATGATGACGATGCTGATGATGCTGATTCTGATGAAGATGATGATGATGATGATGGTGGTGGTGGGGATGATGATGGTGATGGTGATGGTTATGGGGATGATGCTGGGGATGCTAATGATGATGATGATGTTGATGATGATGACGATGGTGGTGATGATGATGATGAAGATGGTGATGGTGATGCTGATGATGAAGACGATGATGATGATTATGATGATGAGGCTGCTGAGGATGATTATGACGATGATGATGCTGTTGTTGATGATGATGATAATGATGATGATGATGATGATGATGCTGATGATGATGATGATCATGATGATGGCTGCTGATGATGATGATGATGTCGATGATGATGATGATGATGATGATGATGATGATGATGATGATGATGATGCTGATGATGATGATGATGATGATGATGGTGGTGATGCTGATGATGTTACTGATTCGGAGATGCTGATGATGCTGCTGATGATGCTGCTGCTGCTGCTGATGATGATGCTGCTGCTGCTGCTGATGATGATGATGATGATGATGATGATGATGATGGTGGTGGTGGTGTGGTGGTGGTGATGATGACGACGACGACGAGGAGGAGGATGAGGACAAGGTGGATGAGGACGAGAAGGAGTAGGAGGAGGAGGAGGAGGAGGAGGAGTGAGGAGGGAGGAGGAGGAGAGAGGAGGAGGAGGAGCCGGAGCAAGAGGAGAGGAGAGAGGAGGAGGAGGAGGAGGAGGAGGAGGAAGGAGGAGGATGAGTAGGAAGTGATCGAGGCACGTGTACCGCTTCGCGGCGAGGGGGGGCGGGAGAGGTTGCTCTCTTCCAGAGGGGTGGCGCGAGGGGGGGGGGGGGGTGGGGGGGGGGCGGCGCGAGAGCGCGAGGAGAGGGTCACGGCTGGCGTGCGCTGCGGGGCCCTGAGGGCGCAAGAGGTGGTCCTTGGACTGGCTTGCGGAGTTGGGTCCTTCGGCGGCGGGATCCGAACCTTACCCTCGCCGATCAGCGATTCAGGCAACTCGATGGGCGGCGGGGGTAGGCTTCGGAGTGCGTCGAGCACGCGGCGAAATCCGAGCCCGGCCCCCGCCCCCCATCGATGCAGGAGAACCGATGGCTGGTGGGGGTGGGGCTCGGATGTCGCCATAATTCTGGGCTGGAGGCGGGTGGGGGGCCTCGAGAGAAGAAGCACGGGGACCATGACCACGATGTCGCGGGGTCTTGCCGACGCCGTTTTTTTGTTGTTTATTCGTATCATTTTTCGTAACATTATCAGCATTACCATTATTGTTTTTTTTTTTTTAATTCTTATTCCTACCATTACCCTTACTGTCGTTTTCGTTACTAATGGCTATATATATTGCTATTATTGGTGTTGTTTTTTCCTACACTGTAAAGTATGGTTATTCATATTCGCATATTTTTCTCATTGATATCTTTATTGCCATTGTTTTGTTATTACTATCGTTCTCATTTTTTGTGTTCCCCCTATTCCAAAGGATGGGGTTCTTGTTATTCTCTGACCGCGCCGGACCAAAAGAACCCCTCCCCTCCTCCCTCTCTCCACTAGACAATGAAGATGATTGTCATGATGATGATGATGACCATGGTATGGTGAGAGTATGATGCGAGTAGGATGGTGATGGTGAGTGATGTGTGAGTATGATGATGAGGATGATGATGGCGATGAGCAGATGATGAGAATGTCTCGCGCGGCTTGCTGGTTTTAGCACTCCTAAGGGGGGCCGCCAGGGGTATTGCACGGCCTCCGTTCGCGCCCAAATGGGGGGATGTCTCATGTGGTTTGCTTGTTTTGGTCCTCGACATCCTCAGCTTTCGGAGCAGATTCTGAGGATGTCTCATGCGAGGCGCTGGCTTTCGCACCCTGGGGGGGCCAGATTTCGAGGATGTCTTAAGCGGTTTGCGTGTTTGGGTGGTCAGACTCGTCTGCTGTCAAAGCAGATTCTGAGGATGTCTATGGCGAGGCGCTGATTTCCGCACTCCCAGAGGGTCCAGATTGCGAGGATGTCCTAGGCTCACTTATGCTCAACCTCGCTCGTGATCAGGCTCATTCATATTCAGACTCGCATCCATCATACTATACTCAGACGCACTCACACCCAGACTTACGCATACTCAGACTCACTCACATTTAGACCCACCCACCCTCAGACTCATTCGTAATCAGACTCACTCGTACTCAGACCCACTCGGGGCCAGTGTCATATCCATCATACTCATACTCAGACGCACTCACATTCAGATTTACTCACGCTTAGAAGCACTCACACTCAGTTCCACCAACCCTCACATTCACTCGTAGTCAAACTCACTCGTACTCAGACCCATTCAGACTTAGACTCGTGCTCACTATACTCATATACTCAGACTCACTCGCTTTCGCACCCCAGGGGGGGCACATTGCGAGGATGCCCCAGACTCACTTGTGCTCAGACTCGTACTCATCATACTCATACTCAGTCCTCACTCACCCCCACTCCATGCAAATAGCTGCACATCTGGGCAGCTCCACGCAGTGAGTGATTCCTTTTTATATAAAAAGGGAACAATTCCCCTTCGGGGCCTTCGTTTCGCTCGCTTTCGCGGCGCGCGCCTGGGCGGAGGGGCCGGGGCGCCCCGAGGACCGCCCCTCCCCTTCCTTGGGGCCTCTCAGAGGCCCCCGCGGAGAGGGCGTGAGCGCCGCCCGCCCTTGGCGAAGCGTTAAGTCGGGCATGTCCCTCTGCAGGAGGAATCTTCGAAAACAATGAAAACATAGCCAGGGGACGATTTTTCGACGTTTTGTTGTTGAACATTATTTATTCTAAAGAATAATTATTGTTGGGCCCCCTGGTGCGCGCCCCCCCTGCGCCGCCTAGGCCGCAGCTACATTTTCATCATTTTCGTGAGGAAGCCTCAGAAAAGAGGGTGTGTACAGGATCCGTTTTGTTTTAGTTGTAATCCGTTTCCCTTGCTAACAACATGAATGGACCCACGACCCCGAAAGGGATATATACATGTGGAGGCATGGGACACGTTTTCATGATACCCAACTGGGCAACACCACACGAAACATCCCACGAGACACCTCACGAAACAGCCCACGAGACACCTCACGAAACATACCACGAGACACCTCACGAAACATTTCACGAGACACCCCGCGAAACATTCCACGAGACACCCCACGAAACATTCCACGACGACAGGCAACCACACAACCAAGGCGGTGTGGTCGTGCTGGGGAGTGGTCGTGCTGGGGTGTGGTCGTGCTGGGGGGTGGTCGTGCTGGGGGGTGGTCGTGCTGGGGGGGTGGTCGTGCTGGGGGGTGGTCGTGCTGGGGCGTGGTCGTGCTGGGGCGTGGTCGTGCTGGGGCGTGGTCGTGCTGGGGCGTGGTCGTGCTGGGGCGTGGTCGTGCTGGGGTGTGGTCGTGCTGTGGTAAGGTCGTGCTGGGGTGCGGACGTGCTGGGGTGTGGTCTTGCTGGGGTGGGGTCGTGCTGGGGTGTGATCGTGCTGGGGTGGGGTCGTGCTGGGGTGTGGTCGTGCTGGGGTGTGGTCGTGCTAGGGAGGGGTCGTGCTGGGGTGGGGTCGTGCTGGGGAGTGGTCGTGCTGGGGTGTGGTCGTGC